TATTATTATTATTATGATGATGTTGGTGGCTGGTCCTAGTAGTCACATTTCAGGGTTGTGTTGAGGATGTTTTTACAATCCATACTGTAGATTTCTGTCACCATGGTTGCTGTATTGGTTAGATTATATACAGTGTATTCATGTGGATGTGTGTATGCCTAGGGGCTGGGGGCTCTGAGTCAGCAGTCCCCATGTAAGACAGAGTGAATGAAAAAGAAGGGTAAACTGTTCTGCAGCAGCAGCACTGACAGGGCAGATTTACAGCCAGCTTGTTCAATTACACGGTGCGCTTTACATGCGGTGTAAAGACAAAATCTAAAGCTGAGGACAAGAGTGACAGGAACCTTACTTGAAGCTTTGGCTTCAGTGCTGTCAGTATATGCTGACAGAAGCAGTCACTGGAGCCTGGAGCATCGGTATGTGACAGTATATAGCCTTAGAGCCCATCAGTTTGCCAACATACTTAAACTCGATCAATCGTGATCAAATCTACAAATGTTGTCTATGTGCTCATTCTTGAACCTGTTTAATTTAACCTTCCACACAAGTCTGAATGATAATATGATTATCAACCATATTATCTGTTTCATCACAAAAATGCTGTCTGCCAGGCTTTTTACCTCTGGATAAACACTGACTTCATGCCAAATACATTGTTAAATTATTGTCTTAATTAACACAAATTATCAGCAGGCATGAACAAAAAATTCACACTCTCTGCCTGTGTTGCTATCCCAGACTTGCTCTGGTTTGTTTACATAGCCGGTCTGGCCGCATGTGCATGTGAGTACATGTGAGTGCATGTGTCTCTCTCTAATCTTTTCACAAATATTTTCTAACTCTGAGAATTAAAAGGTCCATTTCGACCAACCCAGAGTTGGTGATTGTTGGAAAGATGATGGAGAGACTAACAAAGACAGTTTAGGTGAGTTTTGTTTTGTTTCTGTTCAGTTTGTAGTGTGTTTTACGATTATCTGCAAAGTAAAAGTTGGCCATAGTGCCCATTGTTTTGGTCTGAGATGCAGACCGCCCCATCAACATCAGGTCTGAATTGCCTGCGGTACACAAGAAAAATAAGATCTAATAGTCAAGTGTCATTGTGGACACACTCCATGACCTTTCATTTAGCACCACCTTTGTTGCCCACAGCAATGTAGGCTGACAGGTTGGCATTTGGAAAAGACACACCTTTTGATTTTTCCTTATTGTTTTGAGCTGGCACAAACAGTAGATGTCGTATCAGGCTGCAACCCAGACAATCTGCTGGTGGAAAAACACCAACTCCTGTGTAATAAGCTGAAATAAGTATAAACGCACACACACACACACACACACACACTAAAACACCCCAGAGAGTAGGATAATGAACAAAACCTAGAGTTAAAATCTTGACATGAAGAAAAAAAATTGCTTCAGAAAGAACACAGAGACAAGAGTCCAAAGAAAAAGAGAAGAAAACAGCCCCCTGGAGCACAGCCGCTGTTTGGTAAAGCGTGCAGAGTGCTGCTGTGCAGCGTGACAGGTGGTGACAGGTATACGAGTACAAATGATGGTGAGATGAAGAGCAGTGCGGTGCTGCAGGAAACTGGAGCTTTAAAGCTTCACATTTTTATTCCTTCATTAGTCATAATAATACCTCTATCCAACACTTCTGTGGCTGCGAGCCCACTACTGCTGCCTACTCTCTCAGCCCTTCTGTCCCACTGTGTTTGAGAGTGTGAATGTGTGTGTACAATATATGTGTTTTGGCCTGGCTCCTAACTAAAGGGGACAGCTGGTCTTGCAGTTTCTGCAGTGAGTGTGTGAGAGCTTGTGAGTGTGGAGGGATTATTATCGCGGTGTATGCAAGTGTTTGAGTCCTCTGTGCCCTGGTACTAGTCCACTTTTGTCCCAGCACAATGAACAGATGGTTATTACAGCAGACTTAAAGGGAAAAAAATTTTGTCTAGTATGTAAAGATGCTTTCCAAACACAGTTTCACCTCCTCTGCTTTCCTGACGCGATGCTGATGCGTGTTGAAGTTCTACATTATTTATTGTTTTTTGGTCAATGGGGACAACATGCAACGGCAATTTTCCTCAGAATCGTGCAATATGCAACACTGGCAAGACAGTGAGGTGATAGAGCTTCTCCTGATTGTAGGGGAAGAAGAAATAAGGAGACAGGTCACTAGAACTTTCTCCAGAGCTCACACAGCTCTGAGGAAACAAGCCTGGCTATGCCAGACTACTGGCACTGTTAGTGACTAGTTTACTAACCCTGTTTTCCAGTGGGTCCATGATGTTGAACGTGACATGTGATAGAAAAAACAAAAAGGCAAACTAGACTACTGGCAATGGGAAAGAAGTCAATCTAGTATTGCCTAGTTCCAGCTGTGTTTTTACACATTTTTACACACAAAACCTGCATATACACACCACTTTTGGTGTCAAAATTGGTATAACTGTTGCCTTAGATGAAAATTAACCATCATATATGGACAGGATCACTGTGAATACTTGACTATTCAGATATTATTTTATTTATATATTTGGACTTGCTATTTGGTCCGGACTTTGACCTATGATGTCATGTGAATGTGAATATGACAAAAGTGAGAAACATTCCTGCTTTGAAAAAAATCATCAAATAGGACAAATAGGAATATATAAGAATACAGTCCCTGACAAAAGTCTTGTCACTTATCCATTTTGTAGAAACAACAGCTTATAACCTGACTTTCAATTAATCCATTGGTTTTAGAAATGGCTCAATCGAAAGAGCTAAAAACCCTCCCCAAATTTTGTTTGATCATACTAAAAATAAATTTGCTTCACTGAAGAAAGATTTGATCATTTAATGAACACAGAAAGGTCAGATTTGGCAAGACAAAAGTTTTGTCCGCCTACAGAGAGTAATGCTGAAAATTGACAACTAATTTACTTCAAATACAAAAATATGTTGCATAACATCAGTGAATTAAGTAGTGGTGCTGTGAGATCCATATTTAATATCTTGTATGACTTCCATGAGCTTGAAGGACTGCATCCATGCGGTTCGACAATGATTCATACAATTTATTGATGAAGTCATCAGGAATAGCAAAGAAAGCAGTCTTACATGCCTCCCAGAGTTCATCAAGATTCTTTGGTTTCGTCTTCCATGCTTCCTCTTTCATTCTACCCCAGACATGCTCAATGATGTTCATGTCTGGTGACTGGGCTGGCCAGTCCTGGAGCACCTTGATCTTCTTCGCCTTGAGGAACTTTGATGTAGAG